AAGGCACAATACACGAGGATAGCTAAATATGTACTGATTAGGTATTAAGCTTTTAAATAAGTATTATTTGTTTTTTTAATCTTAAAAAAGATCTTTGACACCTGCTTGGATAGAATTACCTGTACAGTCTGAAGACGTAATGTGTAAATCCCATAAGGGAGCATTATACTTTAAAAAGACAGTTAATCGTTTAAAACCAATTTGCCAAGGTGCAGGATGTTCTCAACTCCAGATAAATTCAAGAAATATATACAACCAGGAATTTCATTCTCCATAGGAGCAACGCTACACTTTTGAAAATACAATTTCACTTATAATTCCATCAGTATGCCTTAAGGATTCTTGTAAATAATGGTGCTGCTGTGTAGCTGATGCTTGGTTAAATCCCTGGGATTGTACTGAAAATATCAGCTACCATATTTTGCGCTATAGTACACTGCCCTTGTTTCACTTTTCCTTGAAACAGTTACTGCCCCTCCGTTATTCTACATTGTTCCTGTGGTGTGCAAAACGGGCAGTATTCGATTCGGATTCAGCCTGAATCAGGGACAGCAATTTGATTTGTTGATTCAGATCACTGTCCCAATTCGATTCAGCCAAATCCAAATCTAAAGACTCAATGCCAATTCGGAGAATCAGCAATTTGGCCATAGACACAGCTTTAAATGTTTTTTTCTAACATACTTTGAGGTACCAGGCGTGGCTTCTGAACGCTGCAATGGTGGGGTGGATGGAGTGTCCCACAGGAGCACAGTGGGCCCCCCCACGTGCTTGGCAGCAGACCTGGAAGTGGACTGGAAGTACCCGCCCCATGCCCCCCCGGCTTGGTAATCAGCCATGGCGAGACGCTGGGTGCTCCCTCAGACCCAGGAGGCACCAGACGCCAAGCCAAGTGCTTCTGGCCCACTTCCAGGTCCACTGCTGAGCATGCTGGGGACCCCCCTGCACTCCTGTGGGATGCACATTCCTGTGGGATGCTTCATCCACCCCAGCATCTCAACATTCATGAGCCACCTGGTATCTAGAGGTATGTAGAAAAAAAATGTAAAGCTGTGTCTATGTCTGAATCATCAAATCTCCCTGAATCTCTCCAAATTGATTTGGAGGGGTTTGATTTGATTCGGAGAGATTAAAGGGGCTCCTGATTCGATTCAGATTCAGAGACCGGGCCGAATCTCCACCGAATCGAATCAGTGACTGAAGCTTCGCACAGCCCTAATGTAGAACTAATTTAAGTAGAAGTGCACCAGTACCTTAGTCCAATATCGGATTGGTAGCAATATAAAGAAAATTGGCTGTATCGGAAATTGGCCTGAAGTAGCCGATAATTTGGCTGAGAAATGCCTGTGCGTGTGTGCAGCCGCAGTGCAGCATACATGCAGCGAGGAACACAGACCAGCTGTGTGCTGCTGGTAAGTCTGTTGTGGTGGAAGGAGAGGTGGGAGGGAAGGGGCATGGGGTAGCAGATCAACGCTCCCCACAGTGAGGCAGGGAGGGGGCAGGGGGAAGTGCTGCCCAGCCAGGATCTGCGTGGGGCGGGGTGGGTGGGCTGCAGCTTCAGGCTGGAGATATGTGCAGATCCGGGGGCATATGCCCCCACTTATGCCCTCCTGGGGTGCATGCAGCAGTGGGAACCTCGCCCTGCCCCCAGTGCGCTACCAATTCGATTTCTGATATAGCTGTGCGCAACTGGTAAATCTGTTGTCGTGGAAGGAGGGGTGGGGAAGGAAGGGGTGTGGAGGGGGCAGATCAACACCCCACCCCAGCTGGGCAGCCCCTGCCCCCTCTCTCCCTCACCACAGGGGCATTGATCTGCCCCCACCCCCCTTCCCTGCCCCCTCCCCTTCCACCACAACAGACTTATGAGCTACATGCAGCTGTATCGGAAATTGGATCAGTGTTGGCCAATGTGACGCCTTAAATATCACCTATAGATATTGGCCTTGAAGGAATCACTTTGACAGCTCAGATGATATTAGGCTATTTTTTTCAGACAGTAGTTTATCTAAACTATTTAAAACATTAAAGAAAGCACAAACAACAGAGGGTATGTCAGAGAACTAAGAGTAATAGCTTTATTAAAACTACCATACACTGAATTATATGTACCGTCTATAACAACAACTAAAGGCATAGGGAAAACAAGAAATGAATTCTCATTATCTACCTCATGCAGTGTTGATGACACTGTTTTCTGAAGGATAGGCACAAATTCTTCCACTGGTGAGAACGCATTTGGAGCCAAAACTTGATAAAGGCTCAACTTCTTGGCTATAATAAATAATGGAAAGAATAAATAAAACACAAACTATAATTAGCATTTCACACTAGAGGAAATTCATTTGCATACAATACCTTTCAGTCCATTTGTCTTCAACCAGCTAGCTGAGGTTTTAGCCAGGAAGGTGGGCATTTGTATAACAAGGGGACTTTCATGCTTTGGAAGGAAGTTAGCCGGCACAACCTTTGCAAAATCTGTAGAAATCTAAACATTTAAAAATGTATTTTGTAAATTTCAATGTATGTGAACATATGGCATAATAGTTTCACTAATGCTAAAAATGAGGCATCATTGACACAGCTATTTAAAAATGGCTAAACTTTGTAATAGTGTTTTTAACAGTTAATTTAACCATTTTAAATGGTTTTGGGAAAACAGCATTGCCCTTTGCTAGTCACAGTGCAAAAAGCAGTAATGTCAAGGAAAACCTCTCGAGTTGCATGTACTCTAGAGCTAAAAGCCAATCATCTAGGATAAATAAACTTAATTGAATCTTCATTACTTGGCCAATCAAGTCCTTTATTTACTTGCTGCAGTTGGCTAAATGCTATAATGGACTCATTTGACATTTAATTCCACTTGTACAAACTTGTGAACCAATGGTTCTGTGCCTTGGTACTACAACACCAGGCTTCCATAACTGCTGCCCACATGCTTAGCAACTCCATAACTGTAATTTAAGGACTGTAAAAAGAATAGAAGTGATGCTCCTTGCCATGCGTCTAAATTAGAGGTGGGCAATTATTTCAGTTGGAGGGCCACTTAATGAGTTTTGATAAGCTGTGGAGGGCCGCAAGGGTAGCCCTGCCCTTAGACGGGTGCCCTGCCCCCAGTTGTCATCTTGGGACCAGAAGTCCCGCCCCTAGCCCCCAACCTTTGCCATCAGAAGTCCCTCCCCTTGCCCTGGAAGTACTCCTTTTAGGAAGAGGGTTTGCCATCTTGGAACCAGAAAAAAAAGTCATATACTAAAAATCAAACATCTATTATAGCATATTTTATTAAAAAAAAAATTTCTGTCCTTATTTACGTGTGTTTGCATGGTGTATATAGAGGGGATAGCATAATAGCTCAAAATAAAGTCTTACTTTTGTATATTGTGTGTAGGGAGTGGTTGGGGTCTGGATGGCTGTGTGGTGGGGTATGGGATGGTGTGTGTGCTGTGTGGGGGGGTGTGGGTTTTGTGAAGGGGTGTAGGCATATGGGCAGGGTATGGGGGGAGGGTGTGGGAAGGTGCGGTGTTTGTGGGGGTGTGATTGTGTGTGTGGGAGGGTGTGGTTGTAGGGGAGGGTGTGTGGGTATGGTGGGGTGTGTATGGGAGCCCCACACAACTACACACACAAGCTGGTCAGCACACACAGCCCCTGTCACCACCTCGCAACAGCCTGAAGCCTGTACAATTGCACCTCCTCCCTCCCACTGCCAACAGCACACAGCCTTGACCGTAGCCCACTCCAGGCTGGACCAGCTGGAACCTGTGCGCACAGCCTCGAACCCAGCACCCACCCCCCCGCAGCTGCTCTGGATTGTTGGCCCACATTGAGCAATGGCGGCAGCCAGGCAGAAGCTGCTGCTCAGCATGGGGGGTGGCGGGGAACAGTAGCCCCTCCCCCTCACCTCTGCTAGGCCCAGGCTGCCCCGCAGCTCCTCTCTGCTGCCATCACCGCTACATAAAAAATACGGCTCTGCAGCCCCGCACCCACCCATGAGCAACAAAACACAGTACTAACAGTGCAAAGCCTGCTTGGGGACAGGGATTGGTTGGAGGGGAATGCAGCTGTCACTTGAGAATCACTATGCTAGATGCCACCCACAAGATAAATAAACATTTTCAAAAGGAGGTAAATATCCTCATTTACAGATGGAAAAACAAGTGCTTATGATAAACAGCATGTGAGCAGTTCCCCCTTGCAGCAGATCTGGCCAGCTGCTCCCTTGACTGACATCTGTATTAATATGACAAGCTCCATATAGCGTTTGGAGGAACCTTGGCCATTACAGAGTTAGTAGGAATATATACAGTAGTTGGCTCAATGCTTATTATGCCTGCAGAAATGCTTATATCTGTACAAATGAGTTAAAATTTTGTGGTGAGCATGTTTGTTATTACCCTGAAATAGAATAGTTTTCTGATAGCATACTGTTAGGTTAGCAATAATTTAAATTATTAAGAAGTATTAGCTTTGCAGCTGAATACAAGGCATGACCTGTGGCCTAGCAGTGCCACTTACCAGAATAATAGGCAGAATAATAGCTAAGCCTTTGCCTGTGTCAAGTAATCATTTTCTGAGTAAAATGCAGCAAGTGGATCTGTGTCTGTGTGCTGTAAAATCAGCTACAACAAGGAACAAGATAAGAAAAAGAAGCCATTGTTCTAAGTACAGTGATCGTGTCCTTAAGAAGTATCTACCACTGCAAGTTCTTACTAACGTATCATAATATTACTGTTACTTAACTTTTAGCTTTTAAAAAGTGCTAGTTCAGCTTAATAGAAATATGCTGTTATGAAGATCTGTGAAGTACCGCCCAAGTATTGCTTTTGTTAACCCTGTAGTCTTGCCTTGTTATAAAAAGTATAAAAGAACGCCCCACCCTTTACGGGGGGCCATTTTGCCTCTTTGCTGGCTTTATGGTCATTGCTCGAGCAAATATACTACAGTAAAACTTTACCCGTGTTGTCCGGTTCCTATACAACTAGACAATAAACCCCAGAGAGTTTTCTCCCACCACAATTTGGCACCCCAGATGGGACCCATCTAGCTTGGAGCCTTTGGAGACCTCTACCCCCTGACACCCCAGCGCACACCAGGTGAGTTCACCTATTTGGGTCAGTCTCGGGAGGTGGATGGTCCCCTCAGGACCAATAAGGCGGGATCCTCAAATCGGGTAAAGGAACGGTACCGGCGAGTACCTCAGGTCAGGTATGTTTTTGGTTTCTATCTGGTTTCTGGTTTAACCTCTAAAGGTCTCTGGAAGCAGTCTTTGAGGGTATCCGTCTGCTACTTTAAACGCTGTTAGAGCCGGCAGCCTAGCCGAAAGGCGAAAGACACGGATATAAAGTAGAAATGCTGTCATAACAGCCAACGACTAGGGTCTCGGACTCAAGACGCCCCTCCTCACGGAGAAAGCCAGTGGGATCCGAGAACACCGGTTGTTGTACGTGGACGAAACAGTTTCTAGGCAGGTAAAACTTAGGGAATAAGACTGCTTGTACTTAGATATAATCATGAGTTCTGGCCTAGAATATTCACCCCTTGATTATATGGTTAGGAATTGGAAATATTTGGAGAGACGGGCAGAACTGTCCAAGTCTCGTATGGCAGAACTCTGTTTAATTAATTAGACGTCTTATACGTCTCAGTTAGATTTGAGAAGACAATGGCCAGAAAATGGATCATTTAACCCAAATTGCCTGGCTGCCTTATGAAAAATCTTGGAGGACCTCTGCCTGGACCTAATAAATTATTAGTATTTATGAGACAATGTTGCTAGTAAACCTTTAGTCACCCCGACCCCTGTACTTTTCCCGAATTTGTTAGCTCCCCTTCAATGCCCAAAACCTTCTGCACCACCTTCATATTCAGATAATAATTATAAACCCATGCCCAGACCCCCTATCCCACCTGATCCGTTCATTCCCGTGCCGGCAGGGGACTCGGGAAATCGTGGAGAGGCATCACCCCGACTGCCTCCTAGCAACCACCCAAGTCCTGAGCCTGTAGATGGATCAAAGCATCCCTCTCCAGACTCAACTTCCCCGAACACTGATCCGAGTCCCATAGCTAATCGTACCCGACAACAAGTACCTGCCCCTAGCCTTCTGGCTCCCCTAAGAGCATACCCTGTGCCTGGTGCGGGTAGAGAAGTTATCAGTCACTGGAAACACGCTCCGTTCTCCACCACCGACCTCTTAAACTGGCAAGAAAACACCCCCAGGCTCAGAGATAATCCCGAAGTAGTTCCAAGACGCTTCAAAACCATTTTCATAACTCATAACCCTTCCTGGTCAGATGTCATGCAGCTTCTCAAAAGCCTCTTAACCTCAGACGAGAAAACCCAAGTACTACGCCACGCTGACCAATTTCTAGCCGATCAGCAGCATCAAAACCACTACATGCCTAATGGCGTACCTAAGCAAGATCCAAATTAGAATTACAACAAGGAAGAGGGACAGAATGCAATACGTATGCTAAAAAGGACTGAAAAAAAGAAGAGGCAAGAGATAAAACTACGAACTAGTCCAAAGTGACAGCTACTGTTCAGGGTCCAGAAGAACACCCTTCAGACTACTTTAAAAGACTCTGTAAAGCTATACGTCAGTATAGAAACATGAACCCCGAGACACCTGCCACTTTGCCTGTGTTAAGACTTGTATTCATAAGTCAGGCTAGCAAAGATATTAGAAAGAAGCTCCAACTTGACACCGAGGGTGTTGAGAGTAAATCCATGGCAGAAATCTTAGCCATTACTACTAAAACTTTTAATAGAAGGGAAGAAAAAAGGAAGAAAGAAAAACAAAAGATGCAGAAAAACCAGTCTTTTAAGATCATAAAGCTACCCGCAGCTTACTTCTCTACACAATTAGATCCAGTGGCAAAGGGGGGAGTAGGCTGCCTTCGCACAGTGGCAGCAGCTGCAACAATAGTTGAGAAAGCCCAGGAATTAGTCCTCAGATACCCCCTTATCCTAAAGGTTCCACACGCAGTAGCCCTCCTCCTCCAGAAAAATACTCAACATTTTTCTCATCAGAGAATAAATAAATAGGAAACCACACTTTTAATGGCTACAAACCTGGTCATAAAGAGATGCAATACCCTGAATCCAGCTACTCTATTACCTCTACCCAGCGACGGGGAACCAGACTCCCACGATTGCCTTCAAGTTGCAGCATTTTCAGACAAACCCAGGGCAGATCTCAGTGACTTACCCTTAGACAACCCTGACTTAATTTTTTATATAAATGGCTCTTCAAAAATAGTCAACAGAGTTAAAAAAATGAGTTATGCAGTAGTAACTCCATTTAAAGTACTTAAAGCTGAACCACTGCCTGAGCAGTTCGGCGCGGTAGCAGACTGTGGCTTCCAGCTTGTGCCGTGCCCTGGTCCCTCACCAAGCTGCTTTTATTTTTTCTCAGAGTGAAATGCCGAAAGTTTTTGCATGTGTTCTATGAAACAGGGAAGAGTAGAACTGCTCGTTTCTCGAGAGCTATATGGAATGTTAGGCATAATGTGTATTACTGCAAAAGTGTTTGTCACAGTGTGAAATTCTGAATGTCCTAGAATAGTTTCTCTTTAGTAAAATTAAAGGTTGTTTTTTTTTTTTTTTACTTTCTGTACCTGATCTTTTGTAAAATAAAGTAGTTAAAAAAGATAAAATATGGCAATTGCCGGACAGAAGAACAGTGCTACCTAAAGCAGCCCTTAAACCTTATCTACAACAACTTCACCAAAGCAAGCTTTTAAGTTACAAAAAAACCCAAAAAAACCCCAAACTTGCTGCTATCACTAATAGACTGTTCTACGCACCCGGAGTCTACCAGGAAGCAAAAAGGCTTTTAGAACACTGCAGTATATGCAAAAGTTTAATATCAAAGAAAAAAAAAAAAACAGGACCCCCTGGAGCCCGCCCCTGGGCTTATACTCCCTTTAAAAGACTACAAATAAATTTTGCAGATATGCCTAAAAACAATGGGTACAAAAACCTCCTAGTAATTGTTGACCAACTCACGGGGTAAGTAGAAGCCTTCCCCCCCAGAAGAGCTACAGCACAACAAGTAGTAAAAATACTCCTTAACAAAATTATACCCAGGTTTAGTCCTCCATGTATCACTGAAAACAATCAAGGAACACATTTTACTGCTAACTTAAATAAAACACTGACTAGCTGCCTAGGAATAGAATAGAAATTCCATACCCCTTGGCACCCAAAAAGCTCAAGACAAGTAGAAAGAATGAATCAGACCCTGAAAAAAAAAAAATTAAAAAACTATGTGCTGAGAGCGGGTTAAAATAAACTAAGACTCTCCCACTGGCTCTTATGTCCATCAGATCAACCCCCAGAAAAAAACTAAAGTTCAGTCCTTACGAGCTGCTGTTTGGACACCCTGTTCCCCAACATTTCCCCTTACTACCGGCTCACACTTCTTCTCTTTTAGGCAATAAAGGACTCGCCTCTTATATTTTATCTCTACAGTCTCAGTTAAAATCTCTCCATAGGTATGCTGCTTTAAGCCAACCTTTACCTGCCAATGTCCCAGCACATCGCATCCAGCCTGGAGACTGGGTGTATGTAAAAACTTGAAAACGGTCTCCCCTGGAACCTAAGTGGCAAGGACCGTATCAAGTTCTCCTCACCTCCCACACCGCCGTAAAAATAGCAGAAAAGGACAACTGGATTCATTATACTCGTACAAAAAAGACAGAAGTTTCACCAGAGCTCAGGATCGGCTCCAACGCAAGCTTCCCTGACCTAGAAAAGGGGAAGCCAAAAGAAGACGACTGCGAACTTCGCAGGAGCACCGCACACCCACCTGACCGCGACAAGTGTGAGCCAAAAGCAGACAAAAAAATAAAAACAAACACCTCCTGGACCTGCAGCCCATTAGATAATATAAAACTCAAACTAACCAAAGTCCACTAATAAACTGTCACCCTTTTGGGGTCCTGCCTAGCCCAGAGAACACTGAACTCCAAGTACTGCATCCTTTAAACACTTTTAAATCAGCCAAAACCGAGCACTTTGAAACTGTAACATGCCCCAAAAGAACAGTTATTAGAGCTGCAGAGTTATTCATACTGTTTGTGCTGATTTTGTTATAATATGACTTTTATAACTATGTTATTTCTAATCTTTCTCTTTGCTGAAGAAATAAGTCTTTCACAGGGGTCGGCTATAGCTACCAGTTGCTGCAGATGTGCTAATCCTAGCACCCACAGTTTTCCTGTCTAAATAAGCAATTCAATCAAACTCTCTAAAATAGATGGAAAGGTCAACATTGCCCGCTGGTATCCTCCCTCACATTACTATAGTTCAGCAGAAGTCCGAGTATTTACTTATAAAACAAAATATTGTGTAAAGCCTAGCCACCCAGTTTTCAGACAATTTGCAGAGTATCCTCAGGCTAAGACTACTCTTAAACCTACTGTTGCCCATATCTCTAATAACAATATGTATCTCCAATACGTTGAGAGAGCCACTAAAGCAGAAAACCAAAGTAACTGTTGGGTGTGCAGTCATTTTCTTCGCCACACCCAAGGAGAAATTCCCATAACTCCCATCCCCTGGGGCCCCATCGAGTCACTTTTAAATCTCTCTAATAACCAAACTTAAGACCAAAGTCAGCAGGAGTTCCTTTTAGTAAAGCCTGTTGTTGAAGATTAGTGTTTTTATATAAACTGCTCAATATCAAACTACATCAATTTAAGCACCAGCATATGTCACCACTATTTTACTAGTTCAACTGAAGAAAACTGGTGTAATAATGATACAGCAACTCCTACCTGTTACAGCTCTTACAATAAGTTCTACAGCGGCAAAAATTTAACCAAGAGCACTAATCCTCTCTGCACCCCCCATCTCCTCTTTAAATAATACTTTGTGGTATTGTTTATACACTGATACCTCCCAGAAACAATGCTTATTCAATAGAACTGCAAATCCTTCCTTTAAATCAAAGGGCGAGCGCGAAATGCTAAAACTAAAGAACGGGGGCTGAATACCACCTAAGTATTCAAACCTCGCTGCTTTAAAAGGACAATACTGGGTCTGTGGCTCCCACGCCTATCATAAAATCCCTGCCAAAGGAAAAGGTATCTGCTATCCAGCACTGCTAAAACCCTCAACGTCCTTCGCCATGCACCTTCCACGGGGCAAGTGGCGAAACAAGAGAAATTTGCAAGAAAGCCGTAATATAGTAAACAAATATCAAAAAGCTCAACTTACCAAAAGAGTATTACTCAAGTGTTCCCTTGCAAGTATACTCCCAGGAATAGGCACTGTGTATCTTTAAAAAATTTACATTATGCCTCCAAGCTGTAATAAAAATCATAGCTCACGAATTCAGCAAAGGTCACAAAAACCTCTCAAAGGCCGTTGCTGCCTTAGCTGACACCCAAGAAAAACTCCGACAAATAGTAATTCAAAACCGTATAGCCCTTAATTTTCTCCTCGCTGCTCAAAGAGGAGCTTATATAATTATCAGACCAAAATATTGTGTATAAGTTAACAGTTCTTTTATCATAGTTCAAATCCACCTCAATAATACAACTGTCCATATCCAAAAAGCCATAGCCCTTAATTTTCTCCTCGCTGCTCAAAGAGGAGCTTATATAATTATCAGACCAAAATATTGTGTATAAGTTAACAGTTCTTTTATCATAGTTCAAATCCACCTCAATAATACAACTGTCCATATCCAAAAAGCCAAAGATATAACTAAAATCCCCAAAAATACATCTCTTAGCTAGCTTACTAACTAGTTCTCTTCCCTTACAGGATGGCTTAGACCTTTTATGCTAAATATAATTAAAATAGTTATAACTATAGTCTGCCTGTTATGTTGTTTTCAACGTTTATACTCTCTAAAACAACAGTTTATGCAAAGGCAAGTAAAAATGTATAGTCAATTTATACAAATATCCAGCAACATTCATCAAAACCTAACCCCACAGGAATTTAAATACCTAAAAGTGTGTTCCAAAATTCCCTCTGGAAAATTAAAACAAAGCGGAGACCTGTAGTAAGCATGTTTGTTATTACCCTAAAATAGAATAGTTTTCTGATAACATACTGTTAAGTTAACAATAATTTAAACTATTAAGAAGTATTAGCTTTGCAGCTGAATACAAGGCATGACCTGTGGCCTAGCAATGCCACTGACCACCAGATTGATAGCTAAGCCTTTGCTTGTGTCAAGTAATCATTTTAACTGTATTAAGCATTTTCTGAGTTAAAAAGTGGATCTGTGTCTGTGTGCTGAAAAATCAGCTACAGCAAGAAGTAAGATAAGACAGGGAAGCCATTGTTCTGGGTGCAGTGGTTGTGTCCTTGAGAAGTATCTACTACTGTGTAAGGTTTTGCTAACATATTATAATGTTACTGTTACTTAACTTTTAGCTTTTAAAAAAGTGCTAGTTCAGCTTAATAGAACTATGCTGTTACAAAGATTTGTAAAGCACCGCCCAAGTATTGCTTTTGTTAACCCTGTAGTGTTGCCTTGTTGTAAAAAGTATAAAAGATCGCCTCACCCTTTAGGGGGGGCCATTTTGCCTTTTGCTGGCTTTATGGTCTTTGCTTGAGCAAATAAACAGCTGTCTTTCTTGTCTGTCTAGCAAATTACAGCTAGACAACGAACCTTAGGGAGGTTTCTCCCACCACACTAGGGTTACAGATATATTTACAATTTTAACAGTTTGGAAGCCTATCACTGCTTCAATCATTATAATTAAATAAATTCTAAATACTTATGTATTTTGGCATTTGCTTTTGGGTTTTTTTGATCATAGGAAATCAGAGCTTCCCCTGCCCCCTTTGCTCACCAGGATGCAGGTCCAGCTGCAGCTGTCTACCCACTTGTTTTGTGGTGTTGAGCAGCACTGAGAGGCTGGTGCCCCGCCCCTGCCCTTGTACCTCACTCCTAACCACAACCCTGCCAGTGCCCCTCATTCCTGATCTGCAGCCCCTGCCTGCCCCACACTAGCCCCAGCTCTCTCCCTGCCCCAGGACATGAGTCCACCTGCAGCTGTCCTGCCTGCTGCTTTGTGGATCTAAGCAGTGCCAGCCCTTGCTGTTCTGTTGCCTACATCTGTGCCCAGGCCCCAGAAATCTCTATGCACTTCTTGGGAAGTCCCTGACGTACTCAGAGACTGGGCTGGGCAAGCCCCTTCCCTTCCAGGCCAGCCTCCCTCTGCACAGGCTGCTCTGGAGGAGGGGGGGAGGGGAGGGTCTCCAAGCCTTGCTCTGGAAGCCGCTTCTACCCAGAGCACCCCCCCACCCTGCAATTCTGTCTCACACACACCCCTGTTGCTGCCACCTCCAGCCCATTACATACACCCATAGACCCTGCTGCCGCCTCAATCCCCCCCTGCCCATCACCCACCCCGGTTGCCACTTCTATCCCTCCCCCTGGCCCATCACACCCCCAAAGTGGTTCCTGGGACCAGGAGTCCCCCCCAAGCCAGGTCTGCATGTCCTGGCACCACTGCAGGCACAGGACAGGGCTGCAGTGAAGCAGCTGCTGTGTGGCTGCAGCTCCCGCCAACAAGTCCCGTCCTATCCAGCAGCTGGGCGCACAGGGTGTAGGATTTGTGGTGGGGGTGTGGATGGGGTT